CAATTAACCTACAGGGTCCTGAGTCCTTTTAAGACCATATATACTCTTCTCGTTCTTTCATCTTACTTTTCACATTGAGTGCGACATCCTAAGGAAAGCAAACCTTTTCAAACAAAACTCAAATAATCTTATTCAGAAAAAAATGTCAACAAAAAAACTTCGAAATTCTTATAGCTACACCTCTGATTAGAAAAGCCACGTCTTTGGTGTAACATTTATCTTTTCAGCAATTCGTCGGATGGAACACAAGTTGAAAAAAAGAAGAAAAGCAGAGGACTAAATTGATTTTTGTAGTACACGTAATAAAAAAACCCTTTTTCTAACCAAAGGTGTAGGTTTAAAAATATTCTCATCATTTAATATTTAGCATCAATATTATGTTTAGAAGCTACATGATTAATTTGATAGATAACAATGAGCTTTCTTTACACAATCTAATCAAACTTTAAAACAACGTTAAGATTGAGAAAACGAAAGACCAAAAAATTTCTAGTTCAAAGGATAAAACTCATTCTTAAATGTATATGAATCGTTAAATCATTATTCATGATTCTAAATTTGATAAACATGTATTAGTCTAGTATTTGAGCCATGAAAATATAAGGATTCTTACTTTATTTGTGGCATGTCTACAGGTTTTCTTAGCAGTGTTTGTTGACAGAAAATTACTTTTGCGCTTTCCTGTCGACACTTGAGTGCTTGCCGATTCTTCACCAGTTTGAACTAAATAATTACTTCATCTATCAGTGATATAAATTTGAATCAACTTAACTTACGGAATTGTCTAATATGATCATCCGAGTCAGTCTTGTTCGGGTTGTTCGTATGATTAGTTGAATCTGATATTTCACAAATACTAGCTGAAACATGAACACCTGAGTCAGTCTTGTTCCGGTTGTGCATATGATTATTTGAACCTGATATTTCACAAATACCAGCTGAAACATGATCACCCGGGCCAGTCTTGTTCGGGTTGTTTGTATGATTAGTTGAACCTGATATTTCACAAATACTAGATGAAACAATGTCACCCCAGCAATCTTCGTCTTTGATTTGTTTAGAACCACTTGATTCAGCATTAGTTTCCTTATTGATTGTGCCTAAAACAGCCATATTTTTCTAAGATCTTTTCTCATAGTCTTCTTCTTTTAAATCGCCTTAAAATTCAAATTGGTATCTTAGAAATAAGACTTGTAACATCAGTCTAAGGAATGCAGAGAAGTCGGATGAATACCTTCTGAAAGTTTTAGCTGCATATTCAATTTTCTTACAATAATACACAAAAGACAAAAATAATGGAAATACCTTCTGCATATTTCTTGGCTCTTGCTTTCAGCTCTTCGTTGACTTGCGTGGTGATAACTGAGGCATTTCCTGCTGTTGCATCGCCTTCCATACTCGTGCTGTTGCCAAGCACCCCATCATTTGTGCTAGACTCGAGTTGAGGCTGAGTTTGTCTCCTCTCTCTAGCCTGTTCTCCAAATTGAACATCTGGCCGAAAAACAAAGACTACTTATTCTGTATCTCTGTATTTATAAGTTACTTACCTATTGTATTAGTACTGGGCTGAAATGAATCTTTTTCATAGATCAAACGATCATCAGGTATTAATTCATGTGTACCTTCGAAAGTGAATATTGAAATTTTGATTTTGTACAAATGAATTTTACTACCTGCTTCAGGATCAGTTGTTTCCACACTATTGATCATTAAAGGCAAACGGATTATTGTTTTGTCAAAATTCATATCTTCTACTCTGGTATGCGTTTGGAATCCTTTTTCAGTTCCATTGAACACTTCTTCTGACTCTTGTCCTACTTGTTCAGAATCGCCTCAAAGATAGTACATACGTCATATGTTGAACTGAATCTCGGATTCACTCATATATGCGTGAACGACATTATCGCGAATTTTAAAAATTGACATTAAGAAAACGGAAGTTTATAAAACTAACAAAATAACTGGTGCTTACTATTGGTAACTACCCGTTATCAAAATTTTAATACAACTTCATCCTGAACTAATTTCATATTAGATAACTATCTAAAAAGCTCAAAAAAGATTCATACTAAGTCAAGCAAATATATTTTATGAGAAGCCACTTTCTGAACTCACTCTCACACTGCCTTCACCTCTCATCGCCCACCACACTGCCAAAATACCCAAATGTGTATTATGAAAAAGTAGCGAACAGTCGGGATCCTGTTCGCGATAATGTCGGTTCGCAGAAATGTGTCGCGGAAAAGTTGTAACACAGAGTCTCGTGTAGAACTATAACCACGCATTGAAATAATAGGCTTCCTCGACTTACTGTTCTGTTCGCTGTTCATTTTTCTTATGAGCAAACTATAAGCTATAGTATTGTATCTTAATGATATTAACTAAAATCGCTTATTCGAGAGTAAAATCTTATTTTCAGCCTGTTTTATAATAAATAGTTTCTAGGTTTTTATCTACTTTTTAAATTCATGACTAACGTTTTATTTGCTTTTTGTCATTCTTTGACGTTGTTACATTTTTTCAAGAACAAGAGTAGCGCATAATAATTCTTTTATTTTGCTTTTTCCGGTGACTGAAAAATATTACTTTTTCTTTTTGCATTTACTCAAGTCAGTTCGATGGTGTGAGATTTTTGTTAGTTGGAAAAAACCAAGCAAGGCAGAATAAATAATTATGTAAAATAAGGCAGCTGCTCAAGAGTGTATCTGTTCTCCGTTCCTTCTTTGAGCATCAACATTTACATACACACCCTAGTCGACGATTTTTATATAAGGATCAGTCAAGAATCTTACTGGAAAGCTATAAGTATCAAATAAGACCAGTACAAAAGTCTTATCAAATTCTTAGCGGTTTCTTAAATAAGATTCCGCAGGAGAGTTCCAAAAATTCCATATGAAAAGTATAAGAGCCTTATAAAAGAGTCGTAAGAGTTTCATAAGAAAGTAATAAAAACTCTTATGTAATTCTTATGTGTTTCTTATGAAATTCCTACTTAAAAACTTTTTTTTTCTGGAAATTGATAGAATTTGTTCCATAACTTTACTACTGTCAGTCTTATGTCAAAAAATTTGAAAAAAAACATAGCGGTTCGTTCAGGGTTCGAATCTGGGACCTACATGTTATGCCGTGCTCTTATACCAACTAAGCTATAACGCACTACAACTATGATAAGTTATCTCGTCATTGTATTACGATAATGCATTTATTCCACTTCTTAAATTACAAAAAACGAGGAGTGATCCCAAACTACATGGAAGTATCTGCGCTTTATTTAGCCCTTTTTGGTGACAGTTTTTTAATGTAATCAATAACTTTTGCTTATTCTCTGTTATCCTGACTTATTCTAATATCTGTGTTGAAATAAATAATCTATCTGTGTTTTGAGTAAATAAACTACTGTATTGTACGAAATACTTATCAGAATCTAGTAAGAATCTAATCACAAGAACTCCTTTGTTTTTTATTTTTCGGTAAAAACTGGAACTAATCGGAATACTGTTTTGAAGAGCCCGAAGATTTTTCTATCAAATGAGGTGTACATCGCCGTTTCCTGAGAAAAGCTGATAATAGGGAAAATCGGAAAGCGTCACACTCACTG